CTTTCTGCTCAATAAAACTAAAATGACTGAATACAATGATGTCTATTAATTTTTAAAAATAACACTAAAGAAAATTATGCTCACTCTCAAAATTGTGTGAAATGTTTCAAGGTCTTTGAAAATATTCTGAACTCCAGATCCCAAACTATGTCCCCAGTTTCAGCTTCCAATTAATAACAAAACAAAAAATGTATAATAAATTAGAGTAACACTTGGAGCCCTTCTACAGTTTCAGTTTTAATATTGATCTCCATGAAGAAGGGTCTGTTCGTAATGCTGCTTTTGTAAAGGGTAAGACATTCCTTTATAAAAGGGAGAGGAAATCACTTCTCGAGGTAGATGTGAAAAGCAGTTAGTTAGTAATCTAATAAGAAGTGCATTACACATAATTATGTTAAGTAACTGGGCTTAAGCCAGGCAGGTAATGGAAGTTTTTATTATTTCTTTTCTCCAAACTCATTACTATAGAAAATGCAATATGACAATCTGGGTTTAATTGCACTCATTTAAGTCTCTTCTCTCCACTCCCTCTCTCACCATCTTTGCTTTCTCAGCACTTTCTTCCCCATGATGCAACCATGAAAGAATGATTTCTGCAGAGATTCCCAGCTGTGGGCTTCGGACTTCGTTTTTATGATGGGTCAGATCCAGATATGCTTTGATTCACAGTGCTAGGAATGGTGCTTAGCGGTAAAACAAAATTCAGATTGCTTGAAGTTATTTTGTGTACCTTGTCTTTCACAATTTCCTGTTGCTCCTCAAGATACCTAACCATCAAACCAAATGCCACTAAAAACAACAGCAACCAAAATGACAATATTTGTGTAATATGAACATGCAACTTGATCCTTCAGTTGGATTTTGTTCATTGTTCACCATTCATATTTATCGTCCCTCCGTGCTGAAAGGGTTTCCTGATAGATGATGCTGGAGTCCTTGGAGAAGCAAGTTCTCACATTCAGTTCATTTTATACCAATCTTGGTATCTGGAGCAGCAAGTCCTTCTTACATATATTTCAAAAAAGAAGATATTTATTTGAAAAGGCTAGAACCTTGGAAACACACATGCAGACTCCCTCTTAAATGTCTAAGTAAAATAAAAGCTCAAAAACTACCCTGTACTTTGTAGTATCTTGAACACACACACACATGCATGCATGCATGCCACAACCTACCTAAGGTAAAAAGGAGATTCTGTGATGCGAATTCCTACTCAATTTTAAATTCACACAAACTGAGTGCATCTTTCTGGAGTCAGAATAAAGGAGGAACACTGCATTTGGAAGGAAGATCCTGGGGTATTTGGTGGGATAGTCCCCCATTCAGAGCTTAGTTTTCAATTTAATTTCTATTTTTTCCCTGGCCTATTGCCTAAATGCACCCTTCATTAAATCTATGTACAGGGTCAAAATATTAAAAAGTTCTCCCAGAATTCTCTGGAAAGGATGTAGTAAATCTTTGCAAGTTACTTAAGGATTGAACAACCTCACAATCTTGTGACAGATGCATAGGCAGTGTCTGGACAGGAGACAACGCATCAGACATAGGACAACTGCACAGAAGAAAATTGCCACAAAAGACACAGCAGGCCCAAATCCCACTTTCTTGATCCCACAGTCCATGATTACTATGCCTGGAGAACCATTTATAAAATCCCTGTGTGCAGAGTGTTTGGGTGATTAATGAATCTGGAGCTGTTGCAAAACACCCGGTGATTTGTCATCCCTGCATCCTGCATCAAGGATAAACACCAGCCCATGTTCGAAGCCAGAATGCAGGTGCATCCTTCCAGTGGCCCTAGAAACTTCTGGCCCTCTGGCTGCCATCATTGTTTCACTTTTTATGAAAGACTAATCATACATTCTCTTTTTTCTTCCTGTCATTTTGAAAGAAAAATATACTCATGGAATAATAAACACTTGAGCCTCTAAGTTATGCTTCCCCCCCCCCCCTTTTCCTTGCTCATGTTTTCATTCCTCTCTGCTTCACCTTGGTTTTACTACCTAAAATTCCCTCTCTGTAATTACTTAGTCTTTCTGTAGTCCTCTGTCCAGAGAGTATCTCTAGTGCCTCAGGCTTCTTTATCTTTTCTTGTTTTATAAATAATCCCTCTTAATTTTTTACACTTAATTTTTCTGAGGTTTCTTAGTTATCTTTCATTCCCACCATTTTCCCATTCTTGCATCTTTATACTATTTCTATTACATGTTCTCTTTCTGTCCCTCGGCTTTATTCTTTCCCTCTGTTTTACAATTCCAAAGAAAACTCCAATCTCCGTGGCAACTGACTATGATTGTGGGGAAGATTTTGGCAAGAATTCAGACTGTTTTAAAAACAATTCTTCTTCTCTGACAGGTGCATCAAATAGGGTATTCAGTTCAGTCTCTGAGTCCAGAGAATTGTAATATATGCTTTCCTAAATAAATTTACATGTTGAATGGAAGAAGTCTCAGTAAAATTATGACAAATAAATATTAACTGTATGAATTATAGGAAAATCTAAATAGTCAGTGAGGATGAGAATAGACTTGAATATGGAGAAAAACCAAAGCAGAATTCTAAATATTCACCCAATTCAGGAAAAGAAATAGGTTTAGAGTATATTATAATGGGCCCTATTCTCTTGCTCCTTCTCCTTCTCTCTCTCTCTCTCTCTCTCTCTCTCTCTCTCTCTCTCTCCCCTCTCTCCCTCTGTCTCCCCCCCATACCCCCCTGTTTTTTCAGGAATGGGGTAGAGACTTTAGTAGATTTTCAGCGTATGATTCTCTAGAGCTGTATCCTATAACCAAAGCATATCCCTTGAAATTGAATTTTTATCATCTTCACACAAATTTATGTACAAAAGAGCAGAATAACTCTAACTCTAATCTTAATATCTGGTGAACATTGTTTACATGAGAAGTTGATGCTGTGTGCAGGATTGAAGGAGCTCTGTGTAAGAATGCTGGCAGAAGTGCTCAACTACTCCTCTATTCACAACATTTTAACTCTGGTACCAAATGTTCTAATTATTAAAAACTCAAAACATTTTACCTGGGACGTAGTTTAGAGAGCATGCTTTCTGCAGTGTCCAATCACCTGCATATCTCTACACATAAGTAGACTTTTAAAATTTTTTTCAAGATACATCCAGGGCTCTGAGAATTTTAACAGGTACCATTTATTCCTGTGGCAGGCAGAATACTGGCCCTCCGAATGTGTCCACATCCTAAAGCCTGTGCATATGTTATGTTACATGGAAAAGGGGAATCTATGTAGTGAATAGAATTAAAGTTGGTAATCAGCTAATCTTAAAATAATAAGACTGTCCTTGGATTTTCTGTATCAGCCCAATGTAATCAGAAGGGCTCTTAGGAGTAGAAGACATAGACAAAAGAGGAGGTAAGAATGATGTTGGTGGGCCTCCCCTGGTGGCACAGCGGTTGAGTACTGGGCTGCGAAGCTGCCCACAGCCTCTGCAGCACTGGTTCAATCCCTGGCTGCCGGTGAGGGTCCCAGATGGCGCACAGACCTCTCCTACCGTGCCTGCTGCTCCCCTCAGCAGTGTATTTCATCAGTCTGCCTGTTCTGTTCCCCGCTCTGGCTCTGGTGAATTCTCTTACCCTCCCGTGCTTCTGACTGTATCCAGTGCTTGTATAAATAAATAAATAAATCTTAAAAAAAAAAAAAAAGGAATGATGTTGGTACAATGTGAGAGGGGCTTTTCTGGCAATTTCTCTCTGCAATGGGTTGTGTTATGTATCTCCCTTCCCCCCAGTATCTAACCCCCAGTATCTCAGAAGATGACCCTATTTGGAAATAGGGTTTTTAAAGGTAATCAAATTAAAATGAGTCACATCCAATATGACTGGCGTCTATGAAAAGAGAAAATTTGGGAACAGAGTCATACACAGAAAGAAAACGATGTGAAGATACTCAGCAACACCATGTGAGGGTGTAACCAACAAACCATTAGAATCCAGGAGAGACAAATGAACTGATCTTCTCTCACTGTCCCCAGAAGGATTCAAGTCTGCCAATATCTTAGTTTCAGACTTCTAGTCTCCAGAATTATAAGACAATATATTACAGTCATTTTGAGCCACCCATTTTGCAGTGCTTTGTTTTGGCAGCCCTAAGAAACTAATATGCTGGCTTTGAAGAAGGAAGGAGCTATGAGCCACTGGATGTGGGCAGCATCTAGAAGCTAGAAAGGAAAATTCTCCAGAGTCACAGAAAGAATAAAGTCTTACTGATATCTTGATTTTAAACTTGTGTAATAGAGTAGATGTTTGCCCCCCACCACGCCAACCATACACACACATTTTTGTTTGTGACTGTTTGGAGATAGGGTCTGTAGGGGAGGGATAATAAAAGTTAAATGTGGCCCTAAGGGTGGAGTCGGAGGGCAGGTCATATCCCAGAACCCTCTTTCATGTGAGGATACAGAATGGTGCCAACTGCATGTCAAGAAACGAGTGCTCACAGAAGTCAAATTGGCCAGACCTTTATCCTCCAGCTTTGTGAAAAAATGAACTTCTGTTGTTTAAACCACAAAGTCAATAGTATTTTATTATGGCAGCCTAAGTTGACCTAGACACCAATGGAACCATTTTGGAGTTCTGACTTCAATAACCATACGACAAAAAATTTGTGTCCTTACATTTTGACAATTTGTTCCAGCAGCAATGGGAAGCTAATACACCTTGTTATTAGATTTCAAGTGGTGCCTTAGATGACACATAGATCTTGATAATCTATGTGTTAGTCCTTCTTTTAGTTATCCTAACTTACAACACACTTTAGTTACTGCATCCATGTAGAACTTAGATAAATAATGCGGCTAATAGGAGTAATAGATATCCAAGAATTACGAGCATAATTATGTACTGAAGACATAGCAATGCACAACCATTACTGCCTTCATTTCATAAGTATGGGCTTTGCTTATTTTTCTTTAAGAAAACTTAAAAGACAGTTATGACATAATTCTTACCAGAAGAATCTGTTGATATGGTAACTCTAAAACTCTATGAATACAATATTTCGGGGGAAAAAAGTTCAATGATATGGTAAATTACTGCTATTTATGGAATATTTCACACCTATAATTTTTTCTGAAGGCTATAAATTTTTTCCTGTTGCCCATGAAGCGTGAGTAAAGTATAGAATTGGTATTTTAAAGATCAAGATAGAAAATATACCTTGACAGAGACTGGGGAAAATTAATATAAATAGCCAAAGGTCTAAAATGATGTGAAAACTACTAATATTTTAGCATCAACCAGCAGTTTTAGAGTATATAATAAACCTCAGGTGTCTTCCAGTTCTACCATGTAATAACTGTGCAGCTTTGAGCAAATATTTAACTCTTCTTTAAATGTTACCACCTTTAAACATGATAAGTCAAATAACTTTTCATTTTTACATTTTAACTTCACTAATCTATTTCTGTAAAAGTTTTACTTAAGTTTTTTGGTTTATCTATGTAAAGTACTTCACACCATGATAACATAGCATGAGCTCCTAGACTAGTTGTTATTATATCTACGGCAGATTGTATCAATTTGCTTCTGCTGAATGACAAGACGACACAGCACAACATATATTGGCTTAAAATTACTCATTTTTTTTAGTTTAGGGTCCTATTAGCCTACTGGTTGTTTGATCTGAGTCAGTTCAGTTAATTCTGCTGTGCTTGTGTCTGTCTTAGGAGGAGGGTTGATGGGGTGAGTAACTGAGGACTGCTTTAGTTTCATATATGACATACTAGGCCAGGGCACTGGGGTACTAGACTGGTAGTCTAGCTTGGACTTCATCATATGGTGATCAATCACAAATTTCCTAAGTGTAGCAAGAGGGCCATGTAAATATGTATTTTTAAACCTCTATTGCTATCATACTTGCTAATGTCCCATTGACCAAATCAGTGCCAGCTTAAAGTCTTTAGGGTGGGTACCACCAAAGGCCTTGAATGGGGAACTATCATTTGTGATCATTTCTGCAATCAATCACAAGTCTGATAGTCACATATACATATTACATTATTCCACATCCCCCTTGAAATGTCTCCCATGCCCCTTTATTGCTTATTCACTAAGGTTTTATTACGTAGAGATTGAAATTACTTTCCAATGAATTACTCAAGCCAGACTATTGGAGGTCATCTGTAACTGTTCCTTTCCCTTTTTATAATCTAGTCAGTTACTGATTTCATTAGATTACATCTTATGCGAAACTCTTTAATCCGTCCACTCTCTTTATCTTCACAGCTACCACCCAGACCCACGCCATCATCATCATCTTCCCTGAAGAGGTAACTTGCAAACAGCAGTAGCTATCTAAACACACTCTGCATCCCTTTTTCATCTATTCACTCTATTCCTCATAGTAAAGCTAATATTTTAAATATTGAAAATGTGGGCCTCTCTGGTGGCACAAATTAAGTCTCAGCACTATGTAGCTATCCGCAGCCACTGCAGCACAAGTTCCATCCCCGACCAGGGAGCTAACCCACATGGTGCAGCTTACCTCTCCTGTCTAGCCTGCTGCTCCCCTTAGCAGTGCATTTCAGTGTATTCCACTGTATTTCAATCCACCTGTTCTGCTCACCACTCTGTCTCTGGTGAATCCTCGCACTACCCCTGTACCTCTGGCCTACACCCTGCTCTTGCATGCATAAATAAAATAAATCTTAAAACAAATAAAAATGAGGGCCTCCCTGGTGGCACAGGTGGTTAAGTGCAGCGTGTGAAGCGGTCCGCAGGTTCTACAGTGCGGGTTCGATCCCAGCCGGCCCGGGAGATACCCACCTAGCACAGCAGACCTATCTCACCCGCTGCTCCCCTCAGCAGTGTATTTCAGTCTGTCTGCCTGTTCTGTTCCCCACTCTGTCTCTGGTAAATCTTCTTACCCTCCCACATATCTTGCCTGTACCCTGGTTCTTGTATGCAAAAATAAATAAATCTTTAAAAAAATAAAAATGAAAATATGATCATATCACATTACAGCTGAAACCTTACACTGGACCAAGAAGTTTGAAAATCTTAGATCTTATATGGAGAAAATATAGACAAGAAGACAAATTTTCACAAAGGTAGGTAATGATAAGACTTTGAAAACCTGTGTGTGTTTATAGAAGGTTTTTGAGCAAGAAGACATATTTATGTATTTATAAGTATTTATAAGTAGAAACCCTCACAAATTGGAAAGGGAGAGAAGAGCAAGGGAACAAAGTCCAGGAGGAGGCGAAGAATAGAATCAGAGCATAGTTGAGGGCCTGAGGTAAATGGCATAGGCTAGTTCATGTGTCTGGATTTTATTCAGTAGAAAATTAATACACAGTGCCTGGCAAACAGTATATAATTAAACAATTGTTAAATAAATATATCAGTTAACTAACAAAGACATTGATGAATAAAATGACATGATACCATCTGCTTTCCAAAAATGTATGTGGTTTAGTAAGAAAAAAATATTGAAAAAATGAAAGATTAAATAAGCTGTTTTAGGTTTCCATACATTACTTTTTTATGAACAGTAACACCAGGACTAGAACATAGACCAGGACTAGAGAAAGGAGAATAAATGGTCTCAGGGAGACTCTTCGCAGGAAGGTGATCAACTACAAGATTTAATCGACACCTGAATGAGAAGCAAGATAGATGTGAGAGCTACATTCAGACAGGATGCAGTTTTCTAGACTTCCCATGAACATTATTAAAAGAAGAGAGGAAGAAATACATTGGAAAGTTGATAAGCAAATGATCAACTCAGTTCTGGATCTCTTGAGTTTCCATGATCTGATGGTTTGAATCAGCTGAGAAGGTTTCCTTACTTCCATGCTCTTCACACTGCTTTCTCAGACCAGGATGCCTTTGCTCTACTCCAATTATTTAACTAGGTGAACATTTAGGACATCTCTTACACAAGCTTCCCTCATATGCCTAGTCAAATTCTACCACAATTTCCAAACATTCCTTTTGATAACACTTGTCTTACATCCATTTTTACCTGGTAAATACACAGTGTCTTATGTTACACTGGGTTTACACATCTGTATCTCCCATTGGACTGCAAACTACTTAAGGTGAGAGGTGGGCCAGAGCTTAGGGAAGCAGTGTGAAGTGCTTTAAAGAAGCAAATTTTATAGGAGAAAAGATAGAGAGATAGGGAAGAATTCATCCTACAGTTTGCCATCCTCTGTGAAATAATCAGTTTGGACAAATGATATGATAGTGGAAAGGCAAACTGTAGGGGCTGATTGATTTTAATGGAGAAAGAAGACAGTCACTTTGTCAAGCTATACCTAGTAGCAAAAAGAAAGAAAAACATCCAGAAGTACCTTAGGGTACCTTGTAATTTTCTGCAATGGGAAAGTACTTAATTTCCTTGTAAAACAGCCCCATGGCCCCTTTTTTTCTTATTAATATTAAATGTCATTTTTGAAATTTAAGAAAAAAATAAATTGAATGATTAAGTTGTTTTCTATTCATGGGACTGGAAGATTTACATTCCCTGTTCCTTTATTTATGAAAACAAGCATTAATGGATGCAAAACTTTTTCAATTTAGCTACCAGAGGAATTTTACCTTTCACATTAAAATTACAATATAGTTTATTGTCTTTTATGCAGTGACAGTTGTTTTCCATGAAAGTGAGTATATATCAGTTTGTGATAAGTACAATAAAATATAATGAACATATACTGGTTTGTGGAATTCTGATACATAACTAGTAATGCTTGAATAGTTAACTGTGCTCACCAAGTGCTTCCAGAATCACAATACAATAAAATACCATCCCAAATAGACCCAGAGACACCAGATCAAGTAGCCAAGGGTGTAACTTTGTTGAGATCATGTATGTTGTCCTTTGCTACCCTGGGAGAAAGAACATGTTTCAGGTTATTTTGGATGTATTCTCATTTCCGTATCTTCTCCATTCCTACTGTTAAAAATCATAATCCTCTCTTGTATCGCTCAGTTAACCAGTTGGTCACTAAATTAAATCACCCCTAAACACCACCTGAATCTACCCCTTTATCTCACTCTGTGGCCCTTGTTGATGTGATAGGCATGTTACTATCATAGCACGTTACTATCACAGCAAATTCCTGGCTGACCCCTGGATCTCTGGTTTCATCCCTTCAAAGGATCCTTTACAGAATTAAAAAAACAAGTGGTCTTTCTAAAGCATGCATTTTATCCTATGTTCTTCTGTTTAAAAACCTTCAGTGGTTTCAGTTGCTTTTAGGATAAAATATAAGGCCTAAGGCAATGCCCTGTGCTTTTACAGGGTGACTCATGGCCAAGTTTCTGAGGTTTTCTCCTGCTGGGATCCCCTCACATCCAGTTCTGCCAGACTCAACTGCTTGCAGTTTTAACCACTGGGCTCTGCACCTCACACCATCCTCTCTCTGCACAGACTCTTACCTCATTTTTCATATTCACCCCTTGCTTCCATTCTTTGTCTTACGAATGAATCTTACTGTTTTAAGACCCAGTGTGCTCATTTGCTGGGGCTGCTGGAACAAAGTCCCACTAGCGGAGTGGCCGAAACATCAGAAATGCATTGTCTCACTTTCCTGGAAACAAGATGCCCAAGAGAAAAGTGCCCACAGGGTTGGCTCCATTTGGGGGCTGTGAAAGAGAATCTCTTCCATGCCTCTCCCGTGGCTTCTGGCAGTTTCTGGCAATCTCTCTGGGTCCTCACTTGTGGAAACCTCATCAGATTTCTGTTCTCATCTTCATAAGGTGCTCTCACTCTGTGCCTGTCTATGTCCATATTTCCCTTTGAATAAGGACACTGAACATTTGGAATTAGCATCCACCCTGGCAACCCCATTTTAACTGCTTACTTCTAAGAAGAATCTATCTCCAAAGAAAGTCACATTCTGAACTCATGGGGTTAACACTTCAACATATGAACTTGGAGGGACCAATCAGCTCATAACACTCAGTTTAAAGGAAAGTTCCATGATGTATCCTATGATCTCACATAAAAGATATTCTTTTTGCCTTTATACACTCACTGTACTTTTAAAATAATACCTAGGGCCTCCCCTGGTGGCACAGGCAGTTGAACGCAGGGCTGTGAAGCTGTCCGCAGCCTCTGCAGCACCAGTTCGATCTGGGCTGGCCGGCGAGGGTCCCACATAGTGGGACAGACCTCTCCTGTCTCGCCTGCTGCTCCCCTCAGGAGCATATTTCATCAGTCTGCCTGTTCTGCTCCCGCTCTGTCTCCAGTGAATCCTCTCACGCTCTCTGACATCTGGCCTGTACCCCGGTTCTAGTATAAATAAAATAAAAATCTTTTTGAAGATGGGCGGAGCAACATGGCGGCGAGGAGACGCTGCGAGTAAGATCTCCCATTAAAAAAAGTGAATAGGGAGGAAAAGCGGCAGGTCCCAGTGAGAACTGAGACACGGAAGATAAACGGGTGACTCCAGCAAACTGCCCGAAGAAGAAAGTTGCCATAAAAGAGGACGAGAAGGGAGGGAAGCGCAGAACCCTGCTCCCCTCCCCCGCCCACAGAGGCGGCACTCTCCCACCGGCAGAGACGAGGGAAACAACAAACCAAAACACCCAACAAGAAAAACGGATGCAGCAAGTGGGACTGTGAGTGGAAAGGAACTATTTCAGCCACCACACCCCGTGAACGGGAGCTGAGGCGAACCCTGCAGGATCCGCTGCGGAGGTGAGCTCCAGGCGCCATTAAAGAGAGCCCCGCCCCCCAGGAGGAGCCCAGCACCAGCACACAGCCCCGGCCGCCCGGTAAGCTTGCGCGAAAGCGGCGCTCGGATTGCAGCTGCCCAGGGCCCTGCGCCTGCGACCTAGGCTTGCGGGGAGACGGCGGAGGCCCTCCCTGAGTGAGCAGGAACAAGGTGCCCAGGCAGGGGAGCGGGATTCAAAAGGCGCCATTCCCGCGCCACTGATCTGGGCTATAGCCCGCATCCTGGAACTGAGGGCTTTGGAACTGAGACCCGGGCGGAGGCCCTCCCTGAGTGAGCAGGAACAAGGCGCCCAGGCAGGGGAGCGGGATTCAAAAGGCGCCATTCCCGCGCCACTGATCTGGGCTACAGCCCGCGTCCTGGAACTGAGGGCTTTGGAACTGAGACCCGGGGCACGAAATTAGGGGCGTGGGTTCCCCACGACGGTGGGGCACAAGGCAGACACAGCACCCCAAAGCCGTTGAGGTGTACCCTACCATCCCCGCTCTGCTCCCTGTCCCACGGGGTGGAAAATCAGCTCCCCAAGGGCTCTAGGAGAGATCTCTGGTGCCACCTAGCGACTTGACCCCAGCACAGGCTACTGAAGGAGCTAGTGGCCAGCTGGGGAGTTAGCCCACACCGGGCCCCTTCTGAACAAGTAGTCTGAGCCCACAGGGAGAGCGAGCACCCACAGCCGGGGCAGACCAGGCGCGCAGAATAGTGTGCCTGAGACCAGAAGCGCAGGGAGTGTGTCCCACATCACCATTTTAGAACAGGGACATTTCTTCAGTAAAGACTACCTGCAGAAGGCTTCCTCAGGAGCCAGAGGTGAGCGGGGGAAGTTCGCCCACGCCAGACCCCCTCTGGCCTGCAGTCCAAGCCCAGAGGGGAGCAGGAACCCACCTCCGGGGCAGACCAGGCGCACAGGGGAGTGTGTCCCCACATCGGCATTTTAGAACAGGGACCTTTCTCCAGTAAAGGCTGCTTGAAACTGACAGATGACTCCTGGAAGAACCAGAGGGGAACAGAGAAGCCCACCCAAGATGCCGGCAAGTCCCAACAACACAGTGTCCCAACGCATACGGCAAATTAGAAAACAGACAGTAGGGAGGAGAAGAACCACACGCAACCTAGCAACTCTCCAGAGAAAAAGCACACCACAAAAAGAAAGCCAGCCCCCAGATTGCAACGACAATAACTTGGAAGAATTTCTGAGCCTTCCAGAAAGAGAATTTAAAATTGCCGTGATTAAAAAACTGACAGAAGTCATAAAGGAAAACAATGATAAGGGAAAAATAATCAACGATCAGAAGAATGCAATTGAGTCCCTAGAGAGGGAAAACAATGGTCAGAAGAAAGAAATTGAGTCCCTAAAGAGGGAAGTA